CCGTCTCTACTAAAAATACAAAAAATTAGCTGGGCATGGTGACGCGTGCCTGTAGAGCGAAACTCCGTCCCTCCCCCCCCCCCAAAAAAAAACTCAAGAAGAATGAATAAAAGGAGGAGGCACACCTGACAATTAGTATTTAATTCGTGTTTATTATTTAATCAATCCATTAGCTTTAATTTAATCATGTTCAAATAGAACCTATTATAATACAGATTTCATTTGCTCCTTTCCTTTCATGGTTGTTCCTAGGCTGAAAACAGAGGAAGATGGGAAGTTCTTGTTCAGTGTAGATATCCCAGACTTAGACATGATCCTCACTTAGATACAAAAATAAGCTGAGTTAAAGCTGGGACTGAGATTTAGGTTTTCACCCCACTTCTTTAGTAAATTTCTTTAGGTTCCAACAGAGGGAGCTCCATACTGCTTTGTGTCACTGAGGTGTGGGGCACACAGATGCTTCAGTAAGGATGCATTCACTCATCCAGCATATGTGTATTGAGCATCTACGATGTGCCTAGCAGTTAGGTGTTGGGGATACAGAGACATGAACCCTGCCCTGAAGGGACTCAGTCTAAAGTAGAGGCAGGCGTGTAAACAAGTAATGACCACGTAGTGCAGCAAGGGCTATAATAAAAGTGTTCCAAGGTGCTAAGGGAACTATTAACTCCAGGTCCAGGGAACAGGGAAGGCAGGAAGTCTTCATGGAATGTGAGCTTACTTTTGAAAGGCAAATAAGAGTTGATCAGGTGGATAAAGTAGACAGAACATATGTACAAACATATATGTGGAGTGAATAACAGTATATATGATTAGTTTGGCATAGTGATGACTAAGGCTTAAGGAGCCTGGAAAATTGGGAAAGAGGGGCTGGTTAGCTGGCAGGGACAGATCATAAAAGGCCTTAATCTGAGAATTAAGAAGAGCGAGTTAATATATACATCCAACTCAATAAGATAAAAGACCTTAAAGTAAATGAAACATTATACCCTTATTACAGTTATGCACAAAACAGTTTTTAAAGGGCTTTTAAAGGAATGTTGTCTTTTAAAGGATCTTCAGGGACCATTTATGAATTTCACAAGTCACCGTTCTCATGATTTTATCATCAGTGCCTGGCTTGGTCATTTACTTTCTCACTTTCTTTGGATTTGATCTAAATGACTTTTAAATGTGTCCAAAAATCAAGCCCATTCTCAAAAGCATGAAGATTTGCCATCATTAAAACTCTCAAGGCTGGGTGCTGTGGCTCACATCTGTAATTCCAACACTTTGGGAGGTTGCAGCAGGTGGATCACTTGAGGTCACGAGTTCGAGACTAGCCTGGCCAACATGGTGAAACTTCGTCTCTACTAAAAATACAAAAATTAGCTGGGCATGGTGGTATGTGTCTGTATAGTCCCAGCTACTCGGGAGGCTGAGGTGGGAGAATCGCTGGAGCCCAGGAGGCAGAGGTTGCAGTGAGTAGAGATTGCACCGCTGCACTCCAGCCTGTGCAACAGAGTGAAACCCTGTTTCAAAAAA